GCTATAAGTGATGGGGGGGGCGGCCTGGCAATAGAACTGGGGCCCTGCATCTCTCAACCCAAGGGGCCCGTCGTCTTCTAGAAGGCTTCTGAGAGAGATGCCACCTCGGGGCGCTGGCACGTCGTGTGTTCGCTGCCACTTATACCAGACATGGGTTGCCTCTCGGACCTTGCTAGGTTCGAGGTACTTGTGTAATTGGATCAGCATGCAGCATCCGTTCCCGTGTTTCGAAAGATGGCGAGTAAAAGTTAAATCAACTGCTTCAACCCCGCTTGCCGCCTTCTTGGCTGCTGGTAGTTATTAGTTACTTGCTTTAGCGCTGCAACGTTGCCAACGTATGTACTTGCGAAGCTTCAACGAAGCCAGGAACCAGTCAAAAATCATCTGATTACCACAAAGTGCTTTAGTCTACTTGCATTGAAAAGACGGTCCTTCCTTTTCTCCCTCGTTTTCATGCGCCGCCGTACATATACACCCTCTCTTACAACCCTCACAAACACCAGACTACATCGTCACCAACCTACGACACCATGGCCCAGCCAACCCTCCTCGAGCGTCTCAACAGAGACGGCTTCGTCGTCGTCCCCGAGGCCTTCACCGGCGAAACTCTCGAGAAACTACGCCAGGCCGCCTCGGCCGCAACATCCAACGCCCGCCACGGCAAATGGCCCGACGTCCGCACCCTCCCCAAACAGTTCCCGCCATGGAAGATCGACGGGCCAAACCCAGCCGCCGAGGGGATATGGGGCGTCCAGGGCGTAATGCACCCGGATATGCCCTTCCAGGAAGAGTTCATCAAGGTCTACTTCTCCGATGCCATCATCAACCCCACCCTCCAACTCCTGCAGTGTTCCAGGGACGACTTGGTCATGGAGCTCTTCAACCTGCTGGTCAGGCCCGACTACGACTTTGAGCTCCGCTGGCACAGGGACGACATTCCGCCTACTGCCACCGCCCAAGAGGAACTGGAGCGTCTAAGCAAGCCCGCCTTCTCGGCCCAGTGGAATCTAGCCCTCTACGACGACGCAAGTCTCGTGGTTGTGCCCGGATCCCACCTCCGCGCCAGGACGGACACGGAGAGGAACGCCGACCCCTATGAGAAGGAACTGCCCTGCCAGTTGGTTGTAAAGATGGGGCCGGGGGATATTGTGTTTTACAATAACAACATTGTGCACAGGGGCGTCTATGATGCCAAGGTTGAGAGGATGACCCTGCACGGGAGCGCCGGGCACGTAGATGGTGCTACGTTGAGGGCGAGGAATGTGCTGCAGCACGGGCTGAGGAACTGGATAGACAGGCTGCATTTCGATGCACTGGAAGGCGAGGAGAAGAAGCTGGCGGAGCATATGAAGGAAAATTTGGTAAAGATGGGACGGGATGCCGGCGATGTCGGCTATTCACTGCAGGGGTAGCGTGTTGGTGCAGCCGAGTAATTCATGATCCATATCACAAATAGCTTTGCAATTCTTTATTTTATATTCTATTTATTTATTTAAACTCCTTGAATTTAAATTTCCTGCTCTCGCAATAGCATCAACTGTTGCTTTCGTCCTCCCCGTCCCCCAGGACAGCCTTGTACAAGATGATCAAGTCAATACATCATCTCCATGGTTCACCCACTGTTCACACTATCTGCGCTATCCAATCAAGACAAGGCCTTCACATCCTCCCAGATAGTTGCCGGCCAGGCCAGAATCTCATTATAATCCCTTGAGCAAAAGTACGCCCAGGCAAGCCCCATGTCCCTGGCCGTCTTGAAATATCGATGCACCAAAGTCGCATCGGCGAAGGTGCCATCAAACGCCGTTCCTGTAAAGTAATTCAAAATCACGGCCGCCTTTCCCATTCTATTCGCGGGGATATTGGCCTGGATGGTCGCCGCGTCCTTGTACTGCGGCAGCCCCGAGCAGTTCAGACAGCTCTCAAAGGCAACCACGACGTCGCAAATGTCATAAAACTCATCCGAGACGGCCTTGCCAAAGTTGCACGTCACGGTGATGGGCCTTCCAAACGCGGCTCGCGTGTATCCCACCAAGTCCCTCATGTAGGGCGCGTTCGGGGCTGATTCGTCAAAGAAGATGCCCTGGACGGAAATGTTGGATGCCGAGTACGTATCCCAGCCCTTCCAAGCGGCAACGTCCTGCTTTACCTGATCCAGGGAGAACTGGGCATAGTTGGTTCGCACGTAGCCAATGGGCTTGATGTTGGGGTACGTGTTGAGCTTAGTGACGCCCTGGATGTAGTTGATGTCGTTGTTGCCGGGGAGGTGAGTATCACCGGGCCCGTTGTGAGGGTTGACGACGGTCAGCCAGGAGAGATCACGGTTGGATGCTGCGGCGTTGAAGACGGGCGTCCAGTTTGCTGCGCCATCGTCCCATGTTGCTGCTGGATAGAGGTACAGAGGGAGGATGAGGCCTGTTGCCGAGACCGTGGTGGCCAGAGCGGATGTAAGTAGGAGACGCATGTTGGCGGCTATAAGTGATGATTTGATAATGGGCAACTGAATTTGTTCAAAGAAGAATAGGAAGAAGACGACGACAACTGTGAGGGTGAAGTCGTTTGCAACTGGTCAGTCAAGGGCTAGAATAGTTGGCATTTTTATATTGATAGCTTTCCGGCATTGACCCGCCAGACACTCCCGAATGATGCCTCTTGTCCAAGGATCCTTCTCACTTTGCTGCGGCTTCATATTGCTGGCGGGTCAATATCTCTCCTGTAATCTCACATGGCCATGAAAACAACAAAGGAACGGGGGGGTTGCTCAGTATCCCCAAGTGGAATGAATCGCAGGTCATTGGTTGATACCGCCGATTTTCTTTCAAAGTTGCGGAGTTTCATGGTCACAGCTCAGCAACAACCTCTATACAAGCAGCCCACCATTCGGAAGCTTGCAATCCGAGGAGGCACAATAGAAGTCTGTCATGAAGAGCATGGTGAAGTGGAGTGAGCAAGCTGTGATAGCCGCCCAACGCGTCCCAGGGACTGGATTCTAATTACCGCAGGAGCGATAACATTTACCCCAGACGGGACCTAATTTCCTCCCAAGGAGGTGCCGGTTCCCCTGATAGCTTATTAGACGCCACTTCAGCTATGTCAGAAGACCTGGCGCCGACGTGTCTCGGCTCGCACAGCGAGCTCTGCGTTTGTGGCTGTCCATCAGATAGTGGGCTTGAGACGGTGGCGGTCTCGGGAAGCTCTCGTGAGCTCGGTTGAGGCATTTAACGTAGCTGAAAACTGATATTCTTGCTAGAAGTGTGCGGCACTTTAGTGTTTGCAGCATTTTCTGTTCATCGTTTAACGCGCCTGGCCAGCGCTGGATATAAATTCAGGCGGCCTGGGAGTCCTATGGAGGGATTGGATAATTTCGTAGGGAAATTACAGGAGAGGCTCGCTAATCGCTTTGCAGAGCCACCTGAAATCCTGAAATAAGGAAAATTGGTCTTCTGTGGCCTCGATTTAGAATTATTGCCCATTGTACAACGGCTCGATAAACTGCTGCATACCACGATATTCACTTTAATACCGTCGATAAGAGAGAGGTTCGGATGTTAGCGTCTTGGCAGCTTTATTATATTCTTGTAAATAAAAAATTGAAGCAGAAAAAAGTCCATATGGCTGCCTAACTGTGGGAAGTGGTGGATTGTGCGAAATGCTTCAGCCAACACCCGTCACCGACGTGGAAGCACGAGCATTTTTGCAGACAATGCAAAGTGAGGGGTGTAAGTTGAAGAGGGGGCGTGAGTTGAGCGGCTTGTGGGTCCCACTAATAGTCCCAGTCCCAATAGCAAGGGGCGGCAGCTTGTGGATTACAGTCAGGAACACACACCAACACGTGAACACCAACAACAAACGCAATCTTCTCCGTACACTCCAGGCCCCCGGACTCGTTCAGCCAGGTACCCAGGTCTGTTTGTGAGGTGCTCAACTCAATGGCAAGTCCACAAACTTCAAAGAGTGCTCAATTATGTGAGCTCGATAGAAGCCGTGCAAGTATATCCGTCCTAAACGGGCAGGGGGTCTTGCATGCCATGGTATAAGTCAACAGAACAAGGAGCAAGGCAGCTTTTATAATTTTGCCTACTATCGTTTTGTGATTTCGATCGGTGAATCCAGCCATGTATGGTATTTAGATGCCGAGGATTTCATTCACGTAGCCTCGGATTTGCCCTATGTTCGGAAAGGATTAGCAGTAGGTAAATGCTACTCCAATGGATTAATTTGGTACATCAGGACGCCGGCGTTGAGATCTAGGGTCTTTAAAAATAATATTGGTGCGTATTCTACGACGTAGTTCGCTCTTGGGGTGAAAACATGGCAGTCAATGCCTTGGTGACATGACAACGGGTTGTCATATTGACAACATTAGAGCCATCTCATACTCTGCGTGAAACATATGCACGTGCGAATCATATGTAACTACTTCTCAAAAGTCCAAAAACTCGAGTTATACATGGTGTAACAGTTCCCACCGTGCTTCGTACATGGACAGCCACTACTGGATTCATCCCAAGGTGAAACTGACTCAAAAAGCTATACCCTCTTTACTTATCATACTAAAGAAACGATTCGCTTAAGCGTAATTGTCGAACCTAGGTCATCATGCATCCATCGCCACGTACTACCAACTCGCAATGATGGAAAAAAACAGGAAATACCATGTTCAAAGCCCCATGCATGATGCTCTGTCGGATAGCGGCGTCATACCTTGGCAGTTTTCATCACCAAGCCGCTATCCTCGTCGGTTGTGCTTCCGTCGCCTTGAGTCCCACTGGCTTGTGTCTCTGGGTCGTGTTTCGTCCCCGGGCTTACATCACCCGAAGCTTTCGGTTCCTCGTCGATGCATTCCAATGAGACCGCGGATTTCGGACGGCCGAAACTACCTCTTGATGCCCTGTTGTCTTGTTTTCTCGCCGATATCGGGCTGAGCTGTGCGCTATTTCCGTCCAAGGAGTCCAGGCTTGTCCTTCTCGACGTTGCGGGGGTTGAGTGCTGTCCATCTTCAAAGCTAGATCGACCCTCGTCTGTGCTCGATTGAATCTTTCGCAACGTATCAATCACAGATGGTCTATCGGAAGGGAACTTCTCCAGTGTGGGATCGTCGATATCCACATCGCCAAGACTGCAACCACTATCTGAAACCATCGAATTGGGCGACTTCGGGTTCTTGCCAAAGTCGTCATGGTCGAGACCGTCATCGACAAATTCGTACGCTCCGAAAGACTCATGAGCAAACAAGGGCGTTGCAATTTCTTCCTCCACGGCCATGTCGTTGTCTGTGCGTAGCTGGTTGGGGGGCGGTGATGATATTGCGGTGTCAAACTACTGGCTCATCAGTGTGAATGTCAGGACAGAACGCTGTCCAGAGTCTGTCGAGACGAACTCACCTCGTCGAGTTTTGCTGCTGTATCAGCAACTTCAGCAGCAACATCTGCGACTTGCTTGATGGGAGTCCCGGAACGTGGATCCGCCTCGTACGTCTTGTCCCGGAACACATTGGGCAGCAGTGACTTGGGCCCCGAGGCTACGATGGTATGCTGGCCCGGTGCAACGGGGCCGTCATCCCGCCGTTCGGTAGCTTCAACGAGCGGCGTATGGGATCGGTCTGCGGTGTTGCTCGTCACGGGAACTTTGAGCAAGTTGCAAGGCTTTCCTTGGTCATCTTTGACTGTTGAAATGATTAGCGACACCGAGCTACCTGGCGTCTGCTGCATCGCAACACAAGGCATCGCACAGGAGAGTAACGAACCGACGGTAGCATGCTCATCCAATACCCAGTCGTCCTGGTTTGCGGCCTTGAACTTATAGTAGTATTCCTTTCCAGGCTCAACGGGAATCTGGATAGTAAAATGATGCTCTCCAGATTCGTCAATGACGCCGTGCATTTCCTGCAGCTCCCACTGCGGATCAGAAAACGAGCCAGCTACGAATACTGGAGGCGCAAGGCCCCGTTTCCGATAGCTGACTGTCACCGGCACCTTTTCTGTAGACATTCTCTTTGACTGCCTGTCTAGTTGGAGGTAATGACGAAGCCGGTGCGCAGTCAAAAAGTCACTGCTCAAAGGGCGAATGTGTACTCGAAGAGAACTGTCTGCTAGGTGGCGAAGTAGGCAGAACAGAACCCAGCTGTCGGGGCGTCGTGTTGTTTGGCAGCACCAGCCCAAGTCAACAAGAGTGTTGTAAGTGAGAAGGATTTATCAAGTTCAACAAAGGATCAGGGTGTTGGTCGGATCTGGAGACTTCCGCGAGGCCAACGGTAGGTTTTGGAAGATGGGGGGAAATCAAGTCTGCCGTCTTGCACACCAGTGACGACACTGAATCATGGAGGGCAGGGAGGCATCGACCCGGAGGCATCTCAAGCTTTTTACTCGATTGCCACTCGGCCACTCGTCCAGTCCGTAGCTCTAGCTTGATTCATCAGCCTGGTGCTTCCCCGCGTTGGGCTGGCCAGCCATGGGATGCTGGAGTGCGTTGCTCAATTGGATGGATGGAACGTGAGTGCTCCGTGCCGTTGGCCTCGTTGGTCTCTTGGGGCGTCCTCCTGGGTCTCAAGAGGTTGTCCAGAGGTAACATTGAATCAATGTACACGAGTCCCCGCGTACTGGGCTTGGCAAGTCCGGTACTCCAGGCCCAGCTATACCAAGTGCGTAGCTGCTCTGCTCAAGTGGACATGATCTGATGCAGAATGAACTGCCAATCGATGTGACGTGGCGCGGCACCAGAACCCAACTTGACTTTTTGTTTATCCAACGTGGCCGGCCAACGAGAGGTCGGCCTCTGACGAACTGTCATGTCATCTCTGCAGCTCGCCCAAAAGGCGAGTCAATTCTGTTCAGGAACTCGAGGCATCACGTCACAGCCGTGTGGAAATAAGTGAAGACGAAACTCCCGACCTGACGGCGCACGGAGAAACTACCTACCTACATACATGTAGGTACTTGGGACAAGTATCTTGATGACAGTTGACAGCCAGCCCTGTGGATCAGCGACCGGCCCGCCACGATGATCCAGTCCAACCAGTCAATCTGTTGCTACAGACTGCAAAACCCCAAGGTGAAGCCCCACTTGTTACAACACCATCACCGAGAATATAACATATTCACACTCGACCCCTTTCCGTTATCGAGGCTTGCGGCCTGTTGACCGAGCCCCCCTGCTGTACTTCTCTGCCTGTTCAATCCCTACGCCGTGACACAGACATGCTCTATTCACCATGTCAATCCCACCACAACTTATCCGTGTGAAGCGCAAGAGAGTTGACGAGTCGCCTGTCACATTTCTTCGTTGGTCTTTGAACAAGATAATCGCCCGTGTCCATTTAACTTGCTTACCAATATTGCAGAATTTGACCAAGGCTCCAAGCGTCATCGAAGCGGGAGTAACTGGGCATACCAGCGTCGCGAAGTAGCTGGTCAACAACCTCGAAGGGAGAGCAAGTCTACCCAGCCTATCATCCATGTGTCGTCCCCAGACAAGGTCGCAAGTCCCGATAAAAGACAAGATGAAGCGCATGTACCCGCCAAACCAGCGCAACCCAGAGAGACAACGCCACGTCCCCTTGAACCTCGCAGGTTCCATGTGTCAAAGTCTATGCTAGCAAAAGGGGCCGCCCAAGGACCAAATTCTGGCGTCTCCAAGAAGAGCAGATACGGTCCGGCTGTGTTTGTGGAATCTACGCGAAAAGGGAGGGTGCCACGAAGAAGCCCTGCAGCAAGCCAGATACCGATGCAGCTCGAAGGCGAACTACACAGAGCCGCACAGAATCCAGGGAGCGACATAGAACAGAGACAGCTAAAGCGTCCAGGCGTAACAAATAAATCTCGTGACACGGCTTCGCAGAACGTAATTCCGATCCGAGCTCCTCTGCCTGATTCATTAATGAATCGCCAAGATGAAGACATGGATAAAATAGCAAACGACATGAATGCATGGGTGCTGAACGAGCTAGGTGCCAACCTTCACAGTATGGAGCAGGACAATAGGCCGCTGAGATTCAAACCCAAGAGCCCGGCCAAGCGCTTCCATGAACGGCATCCAGAGCTTGCTCCTCCCCAGAGCTCAGGGACTTCTACTGATACCACAATGAGTGACCTCAGTGATGAAGGAGATGACGACGACTGGGTAATCGAAGAGTACGTCCGTATTCCTGCTAACTCCGTAGCTTTGAACGCGGGACCTGCAGACGTCGGCATTCTTGTTCTGGAAGACGAGGAAGAAAGTTTGCTCTTCTTCGGGTCAGTGCTCGATGAGGATGACGAGCTCGGCGAAGACGATGAAGACGAGAATGGTAAGCACGCAAACATCTAATTCTCAAATCAGCCGGACTGTACGAATAACAGAAGAGCAATGTGCTGACTGGCAAACAGCGGAAAACTATTACACGGCAGACTATCCCGAAGACGAAGTTGACTCTGACGACGAATATGGTCGTGACGCCTACCTCTACCGCCACGGAAACAACTCTGACGAGGAGGAGTATGACAACGAGTACTACGAAGAACAAGACGAGATGATACTCGAGGGCGGCATCGATGATGACGACGACGCCCGAATGGCACGCATCAAAGAATTCATGAAGCGAAACTCGGCATTCCGCTAGCGGCCACTCTTGGACACCTTTCCCTCCTTACCTTCACGCCCCATTCATGCACCACAATCGCATCTCGCATGATGCGCCGACCACAGACCCTATTCATAGCAATGCTTCCGAAATATGCCGCTACGCAAACATACATGCCTACCCGTCCCGCGAGTACATGACCCGGCAACAAACGACGCGGGGTTCGGCGTCATGCACAAAGGGTTCCCAAATAGCATTGCCACAAGAACCACCGGAAACGGAAACTGGGGTGGCAGCCTGCTTACTTGGTAGTGTGTAGTATGGACTCAAACAAGGGTTCCCCATAGGGTCCAAGGGTTGCCCCGTGAACCAACCCACCTCGGCGGCACAAACCCACGATGGGTACAATGCGCGGAATAGATACATACATATGTGGACAGGGTGAAAGGACAGACCAACTGGGTGGCCAAGAAAATAGAAGTCAGAGAGAGAGCTGTGATCAAGGAATGGGCCTTGGCGAGGGAGTTCATGCACCCTCTTTGTCATGCCGGGAACGGAAGGGAGGGAGGGTAGATCCTGCTTACCCGTGGTCTGCGCAATGCGTGAAACGGGGACGGAAATGCGCGAGCACACGAGCCAGATAGATGCTGAAAATATAGGATATGCAAGATTATCTGGGTTCAGGGCGTGTGGTTGTGTGTACGGTTGCTCTGGTGAAAGAAGGCCTGCGCTTGTCGACACAAACTCATACAATAATTATTGGACACAGGCCATTGTACAATCTGATCATGTCGTTGCGAACCAGTTGAGGCTTGACATGGAACGAACGACGATGCTTGTCGAACAAAGAGCTAGTTGTACCAGTCAAGTCACTTCATGATGAGAGAGGAAGATGGATAGTAATAATATCACTTTTTTTTGTTATATCGTACAAGACTGTCGAGACAAAATAACACTCAATTACCTGCCATTATACGTACAAAGCCATCATCCCATGTCTTTCGTAGACATTACAATCATGTCCTCTTCATTATGATATAATGAAACTTCTTTTAGGCTCGTATGCCGAAACTATAGTCATACAAAGCATTAGGCCAGGCTGGGAACCAACACCTTTTGATCCGCCATATGCCGTCAACTCCTAATACTCGAGGAAACCCCTTGTGATATATGCATACCCCAGTACTTTGGTGTAAGATGAAACTTTAAATAAAGAGAGCAAAATTTTTTTTCTGCTGACAACTGCAAGACATAGGAAAGTATTATGAATAAGCAAGGAAAGAAAGGATTGTCGGTACGTTGGGAATATTGTTACATGGAGAGGCCGCCCACGTCGTTATTAAAAATGAATGTCGTTGCCATGTCGCGTTTGAATGTAGTTGTTGCTTCTTTTGTTTAATGTGGGGGTTTCTTTAGAGTTTGAGACGCCTCTGCTCCTTTCTCTTTCTTCGTTCCCGTCTGTCACGGTATTGCATCGCTCGCTTTGCGGCTATGGAACAAATGTCAGTATGTTTTGCGAAGTACGTTTGTGGGTCAGAGCATAGATCAGCTTACCCCAGTCTTGACACTTTCGCTTCAGTTCAGGATCAACCCAGGAATAGTGAATAGCGCGCTCGGGATAACGTTGGGCAAGGCCAAGAGGCTCCATGGGCTTGTCCTGACTGTCTCTTTCACGACACTTGATGCTGATGTGTTTGGGCTCCAAGTCATCCTCGTTATCAAAGATCAACCAGCCATCCTGATCCCAAAGTGGAATCCTCTGGTTCATGCGGTAGTACCAAGCTTGAAGACCTTGAACGGTTCTCTCGGGCGTTCGTCCAAACATGGCGGCGAAATCCTGCTTGATACGCTGCCACTTCAACTTCTTGTCGTGCCAGGCGTAGATGATAAAATCCCCTTCTTCGGTGGTATACTTTTGGTTGATGTGCCTATTCTCGCCATCTGGGGGAGGGCTAGGATAGCCGTCTAATGCAGAGACGCCATGTACGTAGGCGTCATTCATGTGGTAGGGGGCATAATGATCCTGAGAAACGTATGCCTGCAGCGAGGGCAAGGGCTGAGGGAGGAGTGAGGTTCGTCTCAGGCTGCGAAGTGGCGACGGAGGCGTGTAAGGACGAGCAGGACCATATGATCTTGCAAGAGCTTCAACACCAAGATCGAATTCCTCGAGGCTGGGGAGCCGTACAAGTGAATTATTTCTTGGACTGCCAAAAGAAGAAATACTGCGAAGAGGAGAACAATCTCTCGAGATGCTTGGGAAGGGGCCTGAGCATATGGGTTAGCATGCCAGTTGAATCCGATGTGAATCTTGAAACTCACCCTCCAGTGTTAGTCGTGGACTGCTTGATGTAGACTCTGGTGGGGTGTGAGGGTGGACCATGGGCTTAGGGAGCATGATAGAAGGGAGGTCATCTGAAAGCTTTCGTGGAGTATAGCTTTCAACATGAGTGATTGCTTTGATGCCCATCTTTGTCGAGTTGCCCGCAAGCGCCGAGCCGCCTTGCTCTAGCGGTGCTTGAATGGTCGTATACATTTTTTTTTTCCAACAATCCGACTCGCGTAACCAACGTGTTGTATGGCGAATGTAAGCAATACTAGTATATTCGAAGCTTCAAAACGTATGCTGTGACGGTGACCGGCGGAGTGCGTGTAGAGAGAGTCCCTCAAGACACCAAAAGGCTCAACAGGTCAATAAACGAGGGAGGAAGTGGGTTAAGTAAAATAGGGATGGATGAATCTCAAAGTCATAAACGTCGATAAACACGACAGGGAGAGAAAAGGAACGGCCGCTTAACAAGTAAATGACACAAACACGAGGGCTAGAGGGGTGCCGCGTTCTTGTACTCCATGACAGGTGTCGAGACCCTGGCGATGGGAAGGCATCCGATCACTGTGCTAATGCACCAGGTTTCTTCTTCTGCCATGAGTACCTGAGCTACCAAGATCAAGTCCGAAAGAGGGTACGGAGTAGGACAAATGATTGTCTTGAGCTGTTGGAAGGGGGGGTCTGTGTGCGTGCCCCTGGTCGACATTGGAAGAGAGGCAGAGACGGTACCAACACGGAGTGCGGCTAGTGAGACCAGTCAAAAAGCAGGGTGGATCGTCGTGCAGAATCGACATAAACGGTACCTGCGGCAGCGGAGAAACAAAGAAAACAACGAGGCCTGATACTGTCGAAGCCCCGGTATCAGCGTTGCCTTTGCTCTGCTCTGCCTGTGCACTGCAGATGCGCAGACGCCTCATAAATTATTCAGAACGCCAGTGGTGGACATAACGAGATGAGGCTAGTGGCGGGGTGCAGTTGACAGGGGTGCGAGGAAGACAATAGAGATACTCCGTCCGCATCCTTGAATGTGTTGCTCGTACAATACATATCAATTGGCCATGGCTGAGTGCCCAACATGAACGGAACTGTAGGAAGCCCCATTCGCATTGAGTGCGGAGCAGCAACCCACGGGCAGAGAGAGAGAGAGAGATAGTGACGACGACGACGACGACGACAACAACAACAACAGCAGCAGCAGCAGCAAACCACCAGTCGAGAGACTTGTAGAGACTTGTTGTGGTAGGGACCCCGTCTCCGACAGCATAGCAAGCTGCGCCAGCTGGACACGCAAGGGACGGTCATGTCAAAAAATGATACATATGCCAATTGCTGGCGGCTGCACATCTTTCTCCCTCGATAGACTTTGCCAACGCTAGGCATTGTCTGTCCCCCATCAGATGTGTGGTTGTGTGGAGAGCCGAGCCATTCGGGACACACACCTCCTCCAATAGTCTCATCCACACAACCACAAACAGCAACTGGAGCTCGAGTGCTCACGACGGGCGACGATCCCGGTCCACGGACAGATACAACCTCTGCCCATAATTGCCCGCCGGGCCGTCCTGCTGCGCATGGAAAATGGTAAACGCAGTACCCGGCACAAAGAACTGTTGGCCGCTGATGCGCGGTCACGTTGCTCGCCGAGCTGCCCCGTTAGGGGCCATCTTAACCAGGGTTGCCGTTCCATTGGGACATCTCTTGACTGGACGAGGGAGCCTTTTTGGCCGTTTGCGGCACATCGCAACACTTCATGACTTCAGAAAGGCGTGTGACTAGGCAAACAAACCAAAACAACCGCAAAGTGTCTGCCTAGACCACCCAGTATTGTTGGGTCTGGACTGCATTGCTGCGGGTAGCGAGCAACGAAGATTGCGGAGCCTCAGCAACCCTAATATCAAACTTCCTGCCAGATACCAGTCCAAACGCAGATAGCATGAAGCTGCGTGCACTGTATCTTGCAGACAGGGGGTACCAAGTAATCCATTGTTGTGTTCCGAGTGTATTCATGCCCTTTGTGAGGGTCAATATACTGCCATCGAAGCCACCGTTGATAAGTGTGGGCGTCATGTGGCAATGCCTCGGGGCTTGATCTGTATGGGAAGGGAAAAAAAAAAAACAACGGCATCTGACCTATAATCAAATGGCCACAGGATCCCAGTGTGCTGCTTTTGTGCTGCTGGCGTGGCTCGCAAAAAAAGATGCTTGGGTAGCAGGTTGCTTTGCCCATATTTTGTATTGTACTATAGCTGATGCTTTTTCTTTTCCGTCCTCAGGTGCGACGGCTAGCCTCCTGGTGTGTCTAGTGCAGTCTGTTGCATCACAGAATTGTGCTTTGCCATGTAAAATTCTCGAAGCGTGCTGAGTCCGGGGCGATCCTGACCGGTTGCTCTGCCTCCTGGTTCCGGTCCTGATTCTGTTTCCGATTCCGATTCTGTTCTTGTTTCTTGTTGCTCCGGACTGGTGCCGCCGTTTGATCCCATGTCGGATAAGCCATGAGCCCAGAGCAACTCAACTCGACTCGGTCACGGAGTGGGGAGCAGCGAAAATAGACCAAACATCAGCCAAACAAAGGGCGGGCCGCCGACGTCCTGTTTGCTCAAAGACCAGCTTGTCCGTGCCATGACATGTGGCTCAGGGCTCGAGTGGACTGTGCTGGTCAATCGGGGGCACTGAGTGCGCCTGGCTTCGCAGACAAACGAGACTACTAGTCAACTAGCAGACTAGAAGACTGACGCTGTTGCTTTTTCTCTCAACCGGAGGTGGGAGGGGTGTTCAAGGGAGAAGTGAGGTTGGAAGAGTTCAATGTTGCGCAAGGGACGCACAGTGACTGGTGCTCTTTCCTTTTTTGAGCCTCCACTTCGACTGCCATTTGCCATTTAACTGTCAAGCCCCAGTCAGCCCCAGTCAGCCCCGGCAAGTCGCCATCAAGCCCTTGTACAGCACAGTGACGCTAATCCTGATATGGCACAAGCGTGGACGGATGGCAGGCTCCCTTGGCCCCACCTGGCCGAGTGACGCGATCTAAACGGCCAACTCCATACTCCGTATGCGGTCGAGATGCTTTGGGTGCCTCGGACTTGACACACAGACATCGCGCGTTCCTGAGCCACTTCATCACCAAAATAATCAACTGGCAGCTTGCAACAACGCCGCTCAGCACTATCGTACGTACTACTATTCATGTCGACGTTATCAAGTACGCGCCCTTCACCCTAAGCATTGCTTCGTTATTGAGCCTGCTGCTTTGTTACCAAATAAGTATTTTGTTTTGCCAACGGTCTCCTCCTGTACTCCATGAATAGCACTACACATGCGGCGAATGAGTGCTTACTATACACAGCCAGCCCGTGGGCACAGCCATAATCATACAATATTCATGCCATTACGACGGTGTACTCTCTATCTAGGCCGGTAAAATATGCCTCTGCTCCCTACTTTCCGTGCCGCGGAGTGCTTCTCTAAACAAGAAATGCATTGCCGCCTATCGAAGACGAAGATGATGGCAGCGACCATCGTGACTAGCTAGCTACTGTATCCAGTTTGCTTTGAAAGCTCAGGGCCTATCCGTCTCGCAACTACCCGAAAAAGGCAAGACCTTCAAATTAAACATGGCCCACGCGGGAGCTTCTTATCCTGCTGTATCCAGCCCGTCAGCATCTTGCAGAATTTTTTTTTTATACTTGGCGAGACAAATGATTCACACAACGCCACGGTATTTTGCAGCGAGGTTCACTATTTACGCAGGCACGATTTGCCGCTCATTGGATCGAGTTGGCAAGCTGGGCTGGCTCCCCAAGCCTTTTGGTGGCCAAGAAAAAGGAACATGCAGTACTACTACTCTTTGCCTCTGCATGTCTCAATCATCAGCAGGCTAACTCGTCGCCAAGATGTGGATGAATGTTGCCAGTGGCGAACGAAATCTGACAATCTGAGTGCGAAGGGAGAGAGGCGAAGAGAATACAATACAGATTTATCGTGCAAAGAGTGACGTTTACTTTTCGGCTGTTCGACTTTTTAATGTTCAGCTTAGCTTCGTCTGAGGCTTTGAGTCCTGGCGTATTAGGCAACAGCCTGCCATTTTCTTCTCGATGCCTGTTGCCATCGTACAATTCCAGTCGCATTTTGCAGCACCACCATGGAGATTCCGCTGCCACGAGATCGTTGCGAAAACGGTCGGGGAAAAGAAACAGTCATTTGCCAGAAGGACCATACGTTATATTCGGCCCTACGTGGTAGCCGTCATAATGCAAGGTACGCTGACCTCGAATGAAACATCCAAGCAAGGGAGCGAGCAAGATCTGGTCGGCGTGATCGCACGAAGACTCTCCCACAACGGACCCTGCCCAACTGTCGGGGTTTTTCTGCTTCATCATGACGGCCTACAGAGTCTAGCTGAGACACTTGGTATACGGCAATTTGTGCAAAAAGTTGGCGACATTATAAAACGATGTGTTGTTGCCTCTCCACCTCGTACAGAGCAAGTATCATTGCAGGCTGCAGCCACGGCGTGTCGGACGTCGGATCTTGGCTTTGCTGGCGTTGTCGTCAAGCCATAACATTGATGTCGCAGCCGCAGAAGCCACAATAAAATTATTATACGTGTTCGCCAAGGGTTCATCACGACGGCTACCAATGAAAACCCGCATACATCTGCACTTATTGCCTTTTGCGGCTGCATCCTGGCTACCCGAAATTCAAGTCTGCAAGAGAGGGCTGTCATGTCCCACATCCCTTGCAATATCAGATAAATTAACCACCAAGTGGCTGCGCATCGGGATGCCGGTCCGCGCGAACACCATCAGCGATCATGATTATGTCACCTCCTACCCCGAACCAGATCGAAGCTGGATATCGACTGTTGGGAGATTTACGTTTTAGGCACGAGGATCATGCGGTCAGAGCAAGGGCCAGGAAGAGGCCCTCCCACCCTTCAATGGCAGTCATAGTACCCAGCAGTGGTGGCGTTACACGCTTCATTCATGGCATTGTACGTACATATTAGGTCTTGGGCGTGAACATAGAGAGAGGGGAGAGGGGATGTGAGTCTCCGTTGACGATGGTTTTGCAGTAACACAGACTAATGAGTAGGCCTCCTGTCTATTCCCCTGTAGAAGCATTCATGTGGAAGCATTCGTTGCCAACATTTGCCCGCCGGTCAAAAATGCTTCTTGTCATACCAATAACTCGGGGGGCACGTGGACAAGTTGGGCTGTCATCTTGACCAACAACAGGCCGCATTTAGAAGCTGATCTGAATAACAACAATTGGCACAAGCCCATGCTGCCCTTGAATGTCATCGTTTTCTGTGGGCACTACGTAATCCTTGCGCATATGATGTTGGTCGGCTGTGGAGCTTTAAAGAGGCTTCGTCTGTGCACGAGCCAGACATTGTTTGAAGATTATTGCCATGTTGGGGTTTTGCCCACCCCCAGACCACTAACATATGGATGGGGATTTGCCCGTTTCCGATATGTTATTCGGACGAACTATCTGGCCACTTGAAGGGCGAGTCGACGATGACACTCGTGGATCTGCATGCACAGAGTGCAAGTTTTCATGCAGTGTTGTCGCTGCAGGTGTAAGGTCTCACCATGAGCGGGCCATGCTCGCCTCCTTACGTACTTTTCAAGCACTTCAACTCTAGAGTTTAGATCCAGGCTCGACTTGGGACAAAGATCCTGTGTCGGGAAATGATTCATCTCCCGTGAATTTCCTGGACGCGTTTTCAGCACAGATGCAAGGACCATGAAGAAAAAAACATAACAAAAAACATAGAAGGAACTTGGCGCGTCTAGACACTTGCAGCAAACACAAGGTTTGAAATGAGGCGGGGAAAGAAGGGGGGGGGGATGAAGATGCGTGTTAGATGCGTGTTCGATGCACGCGCAGAGAGATGATGTATTGCAAGTTGAAGCAGAACCAACGTACCATCCTCGTTCTGCACCTCCGCTCAAGAAGCTGCAATCACTGTTTAACTCACAATCCCAGCCGCCGATCTGATTCGCCTGCAATGTATCTGTAACGGCTGTCAGCAGAAACAATTGGGTAAGTCGCCTCCAAACGCATAGTATCGTTGAAGGGACCAACAAATCTGGCAGACGTAGAAAGAAAAAAAAAAGGTTCGGGACGGGGCAAGAAGACGGGGCGTGGGGCGTAATAGGACTTATTGCTCCGTAGGGCATTTTCCTGAAACCGGAGAGTACATGCATATATGTACGTACCTGGTGTTGATGATGAAGTTGGATGGCGGTCATCGCGGGTGTCAGAGATATTGCTTCCTTCAGCGACGCCACAGCTGCTGCGGCTGTAGACGCTCAAACCACATGTGTAGGCTTGGAAATCATCAACGTCAACACTGGCCGGGATCAGGCCGGTAAGAATGCGGCCGATAAGGATAATCACTGCTGCATGGCTGCACAGGACAATCGCCCGCGTGCCGTCATCATCACACTGTTGAATGATACCCCTCAAGGCCTTGGTGATCCTCTGCTGCAACTGCTCCAGGGTCTCGCCCTTGCTGGACGGCCTCGCAGCCGACGTGTAGCTCTCATCGTACGAGGGGAACATGGCCTTGAGGACCCCAGGCGCAGCTGGCTCCGGGTGATCAAACGGCGCTGATCCGAACCACTCACGAATGCCATGCTCGGGGAGCATCTTGGTCACCACTGTGCCGGTGAGCAAGGATTTCGCCGTCTCGTCAGACTCGCCAGCAGGCACTCGCGGCCTCTGACCATTCTGTGCGCCTAGTTTCTCCCGCTGAAGGTCCATAAATGGCACCATTGTCTGCAGACACCTGTAAAACGGGCTCGAGTAGACCTTCTCTACCGCCGGGTTCAAGGTTCCGAGATGCCTTCCCAGTTCCTTGGCCTGATCGATCCCATACGAAGTGAGGGCGGGATCGCCCTGGATGCCGGTTGGCGACGGGATGCCCATGTACGCGCCTGTCTTCGGATCAACCGACCAACTGGAGCGGAACTAAAAGGCACAACAATAGCAGAGAGCCCACTTGTCAATACAAAGTTTCCTGCAAAAAAGAGGATGGGGGGGAGGATAAAACGGCGCCTGGCAATTGCTTCCTATTGTCCGGACTGTCGGTAGGCGCGCCACTTACCCCATGTCTGACAACGTATATCTTTTCCAACGGCATTGTCAGCCTCCTCTCTCCCAACTCCCCCGGGTTGGTTTATTACGGTGTGCGACTAAGAGATCCCGGCTGCTCTGTGGGAGGAAGAAGAAGTCTGGTGTAGTCAGCGGGCGTCAAATCTCGCTTCCTCTCTGCTAGGTGTTGTTGTTCGCTGGCCAGACCCCTGAGCCACGTTGGCCACAAGCCGGTGAAGAATAGCCAGAAGGGACCCTCGTCGAGATTGCTTCAAGGGCAGTGGTTGGCTGGCGCAGACGGTTCAGGGATTTTTTGTCGTTTTTTTTTTTTTTCGTTGGTGGTTGAAGTGTGGTCTTCTTCACCGGGCGCTTGGACTTGGGAACTTTAGTCGTCGGTCAGTCCAGAGGGCCAGAAACCTTCCCAACTGCCACTCCCACAATACCGAGCAAGTACTACTTGCATATGTACGTACATACGGGGCCGAGGTTAAAGAGAGGATGACCGCGCCTGACCCACAACAACCTGGGACCCCAGACCTGTTTTCCGTCATCGAAAATCGAGTGCCGCGGGCGTCTGCCGTCCAACCCCGTTCCGCGTAGTACCATTCTTCATTTCTTCAGTAGCAAACCCCCTTGAACCCAGTCCCGCCGTTTTACGTCGTACTGTATAACCCTCGATGCATCGTCTTAATTTACTGACAAATTTGCTGCTGTGCGATGCTCAGCGTTTTCTGCATGGAAACCCGTCTCAAATTAGAGGGCGTTCGACTATTACCCTCGCACACTTTGGCGTTGTATTTTCCCCCAATTGTGGAGAAATGCCGTTTGACGTTTGCCTATTGACGATTGTGATTGTTGCAGCCCAGCCTCTCCCCCTCCCTCTCTCCAGATGTCTCCCTCTCCCCCCCCCCCTTTTTTCCTTTTTTTATTCCTCTTCCCTGCGCCCTC